AATCCTTCATATCAGATATTTACATTATTATTCATAACAGTAGCAAAATTACAGTTATTAAATAGCAATGAAAACAATGTTACGGTTGGGGGTCACGACAACATGAGGAACTGTATTAAGTGGGTCGCAGCATTAGGAAGGTTGAGAACCACTGAAATAAAGCATTTCCCACTCCCCAAAGAAGGTATTTTTCAAATATATTTTAAGGGCCTGAATCCTCTTTGGGACGAGTGCGAGGAATCTCAAGGTGAGAGTGCTGCCTTGAAAAGATGGACTATAAGGTATACCCGAACAAAGTGGATGTGTTCCTTGGCGTGATGTCTTTAACAGAAACATTTATGCAAGAGGCAAAAATCACAGGGAGAGAATAAGGACATGCAGCTGTGGACAAGTCTACATAGGGACCCCCAAACGCAGCAGCATTGCCCAAACATGAATCAAAGAACATGAAAGGCACTGAAGCCTAACTCAACCAGAGAAGTCAACCATAGCAGAGCTCTTGATGGACTTCTGGAACATGGCCATACAGCCCGGAATACTCACAGCAACCCAAATAGAACACAGTTGGTGACAAAGACAAAAAAAGTATTTGTTCACCTGCCTCCTGAAAATGAAAGTGTTTATTAGTAGAAGCAGTTCATTATCTGGACCAATTTGCGCTGAATATTCTATGTGGGAAGAGCAAAGGCATTCTTCAGCTCCATGGCAATCTCGATCTGATAGCACAAAGCCAATATTGTTAGTCTGATAACTCCAAAAGTAGCTTCAGCATATGAAGCAGGCTTCCCATCATCCCCAGCTACAGCTCCCATCATCCCCATCCAACTTAGCAACACTTTCTGCATGCATTCCTTATTTTTATTATGGTGACCAGAATCTGTGAGAGGCAATGCTGCCCAATGGCAGAGATGCTCTTTCCATGCCTATAAAAACGGAGCTGGATCTTAAGTAGACACTTAACAGTAGTGTTTCTCAACCCGGGGATCAGTACCCCGGGGGGGGGGGGGGCTGGGGCAAAAGTGCAATTTTTCTTTTGTTTCGACATGAAGTACAGCTATACTGCCATCCTACAAATTTAAATGCCTTATCAAGCATCCAGAAGCTCTTTGGATTTATTGTCAAAAGTTTTCATAGCTGGAATAACTGGGTTGTTGTAGGTTTTTCAGGCTACATGGCCATGTTCTAGAAGCATTCTCTCCTGACGTTTTGTCTGCATCTATGGCAAGCATCCTCAGAGGTTGTCTGTTGGTCATGGGAGTTCTGTTGCCAAGTTTGGTTCAATTCTATTGTTGGTGGAGTTCAGAATACTCTTTGATTGTAGGTGAACTATAAACCACAGCAACTACAACTCCCAAATTACAAAATCAATTCCCCCCAAACCCCACCACTATTCAAATTTGGACGTAATCGGGTATTTGTGTCAAATTTTGTCCAGTGAATGAAAATACACCCTGCATATCAGATATTTACATTACGATTGATCTATTTCCTCCAAACTCCACCAGTGTTCACATTTGGATATATTGAGTATTTGTGCCAAGTTTGGTCCAGATCCATCATTGTTTGAGTCCACAGTGCTCTCTGGATGTAAGTGAACTACAACTCCCAAACTCAAGGTCAATGCCCACCAAACCCTTCCAGTATTTTCTGTTGCTCATGGGAGGTCTGTGTGCCAAGTTATGGCTGAATTTCATCGTTGGTGAAGTTCAGAATGCTCTTTGATTGTGGGTGAACTATAAACTCCAACAACTACAACTCCCAAATGTCAAGGTCTATTTTCTCAAAACCCCACCAGTGTTTATTTGGGCATATTGAGTATTCGTGCCAAGTTTGGTACAGATCCATCATTGTTTGTGTCCACGGTGCTCTCTGGACATAGGCAAACTACAACTCCCAAACTCAAGGTCAATGCCTACCAAACCCTTCCAGTATTTTCTGTTGGTCATGGGAGTTCTGTGTGCCAAGTTTGGTTCAATTCCATCGTTGATGGAGTTCAGAATGCTCTTTGATTGTAGGTGAACTATAAATCCCAGCAAATACAACTCCCAAATGACAAAATCAATCCCCCCCAACCCCACCAGTATATTTGGGCGTATCGGGTATTTGTGCCAAATTTGGTCCAGTGAATGAAAATACATCCTGTATTTCAGATATTTACATTATGATTCATAACAGTAACACAATTACAATCAGGAAGTAGCAATAAAAATAATGTTATGGTTGGGGGTCACCACAACATGAGGAAGTGTATTAAGGGGTCGTGGCATTAGGAAGGTTGAGAAACACTGCTCAAGAGTTATGTAAATTTCTGTAGTCATTATTTTCGTGGTCTTATCTCTCTTTGACACTTTCTCCTACAACATTAACCCAAGTTTTTGCTCTTTTCTTTCTAGCTGGGACATTATTTCCTCACTTGGGCTACATTAAGTTATGCAAAAAACAATGCATTTTCAAGTTTCCCCTCCACAGTTGTCTATGGATCTCCCTCCTTCCTTTTGTC